TGTCGGAAAAGAAACACGCTAGGCTGATCCAGCAAAACTGACGGTGATATAAAAGCGAACAGGCATCCAGATGAAACAAAAAATGAATGCCGTGAAAGCAAGTGGGAGAGTCCTCAGGATGTAAGTCTCAAAAAGCGATAATAACAAAGGCCACTCACAAAGTGGCAAGAGCAAGGCTAAACCAGCCGATTTCTGGCATCTTGCAAAAGTTGGCATTGTTGTTCCTGGGTATTGGTGTAAGCGCTTTCATTTTGCTTTTTCCAGCAAAGATCTAAAGAGGTCACCAACCAATTCTTCCTAGGTCGCCCCGGTCTTCTGAAGATAGGCGTATACCGAATATGGGATAGCACTGTCCCTACGAAAACTTACCTGTCTCATTGGGTCGCGATTGTCAGTTCTCAAAACGCGCCCAGTTAGTTTAACCCTTTTTTTTGATGCAAACATTTTTCGATGCACCAAGCTAGCTTGGGAGAGGAGTTGTATCTGGATGCAGCACTGCGGTATACTTTGGCGTTCGTATTTCTATGGTCGATGAACGGCGTTTATATTTTTCGGCGTTCGTTTATATTTATCAATATAGCTGGTTAATTGCCCAGTGATTTCACACACCTGCAGAGGCCTATTCATAGGCCTCTCACAGCTGTCAATGAACTCGTGAGTTCGTCCCCATTCTGCACTGAGGCTCGCAATTCCGAGCAGTAGGTCTCCAAGTGGCAGCCTCCAACTTAAAAGTGAAGTACGTACTTTAGAAGTGACTGGTGCGACGAAAGTAGGGAAGGGAGGAGCCTCGCCCCCAATAGAGATTCCTTTGGATCCGGCCACCCTCATTCCCTACGCACAAGTCAGGTGGCAGTACCCAGCCACCACAGCCACAGCTAATCTGGAGGTTCATTGAGGTGATGTTCACCCAAAACGGGCAAACATGGGAACCACTTGGTGACCGGTGCATTCCCTGGCAATGCAACCATATGATTACAACACATGTGGATCCTCAACCCCCAAGTCCGAGGTGCCTTTGAAACATGTCATGTAACGAGATTGAAACAATGACAAACAAACTATATTCCAAACTGCATGCCCTGAAGGAGCTGTGGCCTTCCCTCTTTGAACTGTTTTAATGTTGTATCATGTTGTATCCAACTGTCACAGAAAAGACTCCGACCGCAAAAAAAACACATGGAGTCTGTCTGTGTGTCTCTTCTGTTCTGAAGACGGAACATCTACAGTACCCCCCCTTAATAACAACAACTGAAGTGTGCAACAACTGAAGTGTGCGACCTCTCGCGCCAGCAGCGCGAGCTCCCTGAGGTGTACATAGGCCTCTCTGACGGTTGCTGCAAGCGTCAGAACATGTCAGAACTAGCTCCACCAAGGAGTATTTGCTCCTTTGCTGGGGTCAAAAAAAGGTCACTTTGACGGTTGCTTTGGTTTAACTAAACAGGAGAGTGCGCTATGTTGTTTCATAAACAGGAGAGACTTTGGTATGATGAATATCTCAACATGGTGATCTGACGTTTCGACTGACAGAACTCCCGGTCACCATCAAGGTGAAGAGAAGTAGCTCAACATGAGTTCCTCAAAACCCAAATGGGGCAAACTGCCACTGCCAGAGCTTCGGAATACTTGGGACAGGTACCAAGGCCTTTTGCGATCGAACACTTGGTGGTACCACATACCAAGGGGTGCCAAACCATTTTTTTGGGCATAGGTATCAAGGCCATTCATGAGAAATAGCTGGCTTCTTTCTGGTGGTGAAAATACTGTTTCAACTGTTTCGCCTTTAGGTCATCGCTCAGTGGCTGTTCGGCCAAAGTCTCACACAGCGCTTTGGTCGCCGAACACCGACCGGAACCAATGAGTACAGTCTATACCAGGACCGAAGCCGTTCGTCTGGACACTCGGTCCTGGTGGTCGTAGACCTGCTTTTTGTTGGATGGGGTCATGATGACATGCCCATGGTTCGGTACTTTGGAGGGTCGAGGCTTTTGCAGGACCTCCCTAACATGTTTTCATGTGCGATCTGAAAAATCTCTGATGTTGAAAGAATACCTCAAACCCGTCAAGTTGGTGAAGGGCAGAAACCCGCTGCCGGACGGATGAGCTTTTGAACTCGGATGGGCTCAAAAACCACCGACCAGATCCAAACATATCCCAGCACCACCCAGTTTGGGTGGTTATTGGAGAGAAAAACACATGGGAAAAGGGTTATACGAACCACCCGAACTCCGAAGCGCTCTTGAAAAAATGACCGAGAATATGGTAGATGTATGGTGGATGTCGTCTAGAAGGTCTCTCCCACCTTTTCTTTGGCACCAGAGTGATGGATCTCAGGATTTTCACCACCACCACCGGTCTCTCCTCCTCGCTCTCCACCGGTCTCTCACCACCTGTGTGCTCCATCCCCTGACCGAAGACTGGAGCCTTGACTGGTCCACCCGAGCCGAAGGAAGGCAAGGTATACAAATCCGCCGCCTGCGTTCCCGCGCGCTATGTCGGTCGGACGGATGTCGGAGGAAGTCGGAGGGTTGTCGTTCACAGCCCTTACGCATCGAAGCCGTAAACGAGCAAACGAATGAAGCCTTAGTTAAGCTATGTTAAGCTGTACTACTGAACCTCACTGGGCTGTGGGTTCTGACCCTTAAAGGACCAAGGAGATGCATCCCCCCTCAGTTGCCCGAAAGAAAGAGACCCTGTTTAAAGAGGTATATGCACAGCTCCTTCGCCCCTCTCTAGACCAGAGCTGGAGGAAAAACAAGTCGTCATGCCATGCCACTCTAGTAGGACACGGACGTGACATGGAATATGATGTGGAACAGACTGGAACGTGGACCGCTGGTGGGCATAACTTCCTCTACAAAGTCTTCTAAGGGTCCTGGTCAGCTTCCACGATGCTTGGAGAGAGGGTCACCTGCCATGTCCTGCGAGATCTCAGAACCCGCTGGTACCTTTTTTCGGTGCGTGCGTCGTTCAGACGTCAAACAGATCGATGATCGAAGCGTCTTCATGCTTGGAAATTGCTGCATTAAAGTGTTGAAACACCTGCCCAGCCCAAAACAACTCCGCCCTAGGGATCCAAGTACCTCCTCCAAAGGTACTTGGACCCTCCAAACCCACCCCAAACACCTTCTCTGTTGTGGCGGGTTTTGGGTTACGTGCGGTTGGGCCAAATGGCGCGTCGCTACTTGGCTTGAACGCACGGAAGTTCGATTCTTCTGTGTTCGTCTGAACGCGTTGGCCCGTTGGCATATGGCTTAAGACATCTTGGACCCGAGCAAGATAGAAGCAAGATGGCAACAGGCAACAAGTCTGATCCTCGATTGATCTCCTTCTTTGACTCGACACGTGTACCTCATGTACCTGAGCAACATTGGCTATTCCTGTGGGCTTTGCCTCATTTTGCATCTGTTTGAGACCTTCAAGTGGTGTGGGTGTCTCGCCTCGAGACAAACATACCTACACCATGCCGAACTGATAGGAGTTCCGAACTGGATGTGTAGACTGGCAGGTGGCAAATATTCACGTCTGTGAAATCATCAGCGATAGGGAGAATCTACTCGATCTATCTTATCTGTGGTTTGATCTGGCTATCTGGTTATCATTGTGATTGTTGTGAGAATCTATCTATTATCCTATCTAAGATATATCTTTATCTTATCAAAACCCACCACAACTCTCAATCTGTCCAACAATGATCCCTGCCACAAATAGAAATCAACCAACACACCGAGACCGACGAACTCTCCGTCCAGGTCCGCCGCAAGTTCCCTCCCCCCCCAAAAATGAAACGAGAAAACACACAAACACACACACACACACACACTCTGACACGGGTTCTCAGTTACACTCAGTTCCCACGCTGAGAAGGAAGGTGACACACACACACACACACACACATGGCACACGCGGCAAAAAACCGTCGCCTGCATCATCTCTTGCACTCGCACCAAGGCTTTCAAGGCTTCCACGAGACCCACCGCAGGGTTGTTCTGACGGGAGCCGTGTCTGTCTCGGAGCCCTTCACTCCCAATGGGACCGGTTGAGTGAGTGAATGAGTTGACCCCGCGTGTTGGAGTGGTGAAATGTACTAAGAGGTGCCAAAAGAATCCATCGGGTTCTCAATGAAGAGAAACAAGTAAACATACTTAGGCCATCTTAGGCCTCCGTATGGAGCTTTGCATTCATGCATTCCTTCTCGCCCAACTCAGACGATACCCCTCGACCGCTCGCGGCGCGGCCGCAAGGCCTGCGCATTCACCAGGAGATCAGGAGCATCGCACAGCACGTAGCCTGCCACATCGATCCGTATAGGGAGCCCGCGCGGACGGGACAGACCTCGATTGGACGGTTGGTGGATGAAGACTTACCACCTGGTGTTTGAGACCCACATGGAACTTGATGGCATGGACATGCATGGACCAGACTGGAAGATGCTTTTCCGAATACCAAGCCAGTTTTCAGGTTCCAATGTGTACTCTTTTCGTCCGTGTACCGCTGCATGTTGCTATAGCCCGTGGCCGAACGGGGAAGACGGGGAAGTTGGGAAGACCATGGCGTCCAAGCAAGTTTTTTTCCACCAAGTTCCGTGAGGTCCGGCCCCGTCTCTGAGGAAGGGCGTTTCAATCGACCTATCCCATCGTTTAAGCTTGTTTACATGAAGGTTGAGGATGCAGTCATCGGGAGAAGCGTAGGTGAACAATGGTGAACATGCAGTCCGGACCGGCCCAGTTCAGGATCTCTTCGAGTTGATACATACCCTCCCCCTGACCAGACGGCCCCATGGACCCTGAGAATAGCCGGAAGATTGACCATGTTCGACGCAACCCGATGTGGTTTTGGGGGGGTTCCAGGTTGATCTGCAACTGTTTTGGACCACAAATCAAACTCCATGGGTTTCGGCAGCATCAACCAGCAGAAGCCGCATCGACATTGGTCTGGCTTTGGCCGGGAAAACGATGTCTAAAACGGTGAAACGAGTTTTTCCGCGGTGGGGCGGCTGTGCTTCAGCTGATCCACAAGGCGATCCTGAGTGGCGCAGTTGCTGACAGAAAGCACATGTTCTGACTGAGCCAAATCCCAGATCCCAATGATATAGCAAAACGATACACAAACAATTGTGTAATGTGAACATCTTGATCATTGAGTTCGTCGTCATTCTCGTGTATTCTTGCTCTTGATATTGTAGGTGAGTTTAGAGTTACTGGTCCCAACAAATGGTGGCCACCAGCATATCACGTCTGTATTTCTGCCCGACATGGAGCTGCGACTTGCGTGGCATTCGATGCGACATTTACCCCCTTGCAGCTACGTACTACGAGGCCTGCAGGTCTTGCGGAAGATTAGGAACGGTCCATTCCACTTTGCATCGGATTTCTTGAACCCTGTCAATTGAGGGTACAAAGGTTTCATACGGTCGATGTTGCCGCATTCCACAGAACAGGTGGACCTAGGCGTTGGTGTTTTGGTCTAAACTGCTCAGGTGTTGGTGTTTTGGAACATGCCAACAACGTCTGGGATAGTCCATGACACATCGCTCTGTGCCTGGATGAAATGTCGAACGGTCCCTATCCCGGCAGCTCCTCGGAACGGAAAGAAAACCACTTGGGGCGTTGGGCGTTGGTGAAAACCCCACAGGTCCAGAATCGTTTGCTACTCAAAAAGAGTCAGAGGCTTAGATGATGAGTTGGTTCCTTAAACACATGTCCTGGAATCTTGGTAGGTTGTATAGTTTCTTTTCGAGGAACCACATACAAACAAAAATAATCAATCGATATCAATCGTAAGAACATGTAAGAACACAAAACATGTGGTAACCAAGTGCTAAGAACAGAACTACAAACACCAGCACGATGCACACGATTTGTTCTTCTTCTTCCCCAGGGCCCCAAGGCGCCGATTCTGGATGGCCTCTTTGGCCGCGTGCAAGGCTCCTGGCATCGGGTTCATGAGTACACCACACCACTGGGATCGGAATCCGCGAGCAGCAGTTCCATGTCAGGGTGCCGAGCGAACGGAGGATAAGAGTGTCGCATCCACGGCCCCTGGATGGGACTAAAAACCATTCCGACATGGAACTGCTGACAGGTTTTTCAGTGCATGACCTTGCTGTGAAGTCCCTGGTTGTGTGACTGACAGGCAAACAAGTTTGTGATCTCAAACTGGGAAGATCAAGTTTGGTCACAAACTGAAGAACCAGGTATATGAATCCAGTCTTGATGAGTCTATAGGCCCTACTTTTTTTCAGCAGTCACTCGTACAAAAGTAGTTCAATGTAGGATGAGCAAGTTGGACCAGGTAGTACGCTGCTGGAGCCCAACATATCACCCTGGCATGACTGATCCCATGATGGACAGACATTGAATCTTCAGCCGGTTGCGGAAGCAACGCTCCCCTCAAAAAAACAGATAAACACTTCTTGTGGGAGGATCATGGCATTGGAGAACTGCAGCACATCCAATGGCCTGGGAAAACATGATCTTACAAGGCCACGGTGGGTGGCTCAGTCGGTTTGGGTACACTGCAAGTCCCCACTTCGGAGTACGCAATCCACGTGATGTAGACTCTTGATTCATAAACTCACCCATTTGAAATGGAAATCCTCTTCATATGAGGCTTTATGAATCAAGAGTCTACATTCGTTGGGCTCGTCTGATCAGTTGGGATGGGGTATCCGCTTGGATCGAGTAGCAGCAACCGGACCACTTCAAGACCCACGTCTTCGGTTCGTGGGACTGTGCAACTGGCTGGGTCACTGCACGGCAACTTCTGTCCTTTTGGTCCAGTTTCTTAGACTTCAGACTGGTCAGACGTGGCGCATGGCGCAGAAGGAACGACCTGTCCCAAAGAAAAAAGAACAACAGCACCCAAGAGCAGGACACGAAAAAAAAGCGTCGACGCTGCCCAGAAGGAAACTCGAACAAAAACCCAACGGATTCGACGGCGTCCGAGCACCCTGGCGGCCCTGGCGGCGTCCGAGCTGCGGGGCATAGAATCCCAAGTGTTCTGCATCCATTGGCAGTGGGAGGCACCCGGCACCCAGATGGTATCCTGAGTGTCCCAGATGGCCCGCTCCATGGCCCGGAGTGTTTTTGAGCCCGAGACGAGGAGAACAGCTTTGAATCAAGGACACTGAAGAATCTTGAGCAGATCAAACCATGTTCTTTTTGCATTTGATAAAGGATTTGCGGACATCGGACACAAACACGAGCCAAGTGAACACGAAGGGAATTGCTTATCCAGAAAATTACCACTGACATCCACTGACCATTTGCTCAAAAACCAGTGATTGCCCAACGAAAATAGGACTCTCCGTCTGTCAGTTGCTACTGCAATCCTATGCATTCATTATAATATGGAAAATTCATATGTGCAAAACTGCAAAACTATTGATAATGGATGATGATGATGATGATGATGATGATGATGATGATGATGATGATGATGGAAATACACAAACAGGTAACAACATACATACTTCCATGCCAAAGTCGCATTGAATTTAAGTGTAACAACCGATTGAATTCTCTAAGCCCTTGGCTTGCGAAAAAAAAAAAAAAAACATGCAGGTGGTTGGTTTCTTCAGAGTGGGGATGCCTGGGATGAACGAGATGGAACACCGGCTACTGACGAGGCGTCGCCGGCACCGATCGAAAGGAATCTCCGTCCAAACCCGAAACCAAAAGTCTGCAGAGAGCTTGCTCAGTATCTGCCAATTGGTTTTGGGTATGTGGATGATAAGTTAGGTTGCAGGCCGAAATCACAGTAATCATCGTGCAATACCTTTCCTGTTACTGGAGGACACTGGGACACACACTGACACACCCTAGATTGGTCAAGACTGGGAAGAAGCCAGGTGCGGACTCCCCCATGTCCAGGGTGCCGCCCAACGATCGCCATGTCCAGGGCTCGATGTTGGCCTCTGCGCCACCCGGTGGCACCAGGATGGAAAGCCAGTGCCATGGGTCGACTTCGCCGTTGGCAAAGACCACATGAGACCCCTCAGTGAGCTGAGCTGTAGTCTGCTGGCCATCGGTTCTTCTTATGGCAATATATTGGTTTTGGGCTCGTTTGGGGGTCCAAAGGCTGGTTAAGAAGCATGATTTGGGAACATGATTTGGGCAATAATACATCTTCTATATGAAAAACAGATCGTGAATCACACCCGAAAATGAGTGATGGTTCAGAAATGCAGCAATCCGTCTTGTGGTCGCCGGGGTGTTGGTTTTGAACGCGGAACATAGTGACCTTCAGTAAGGCCTTCAGCGTCCAATGCCGAACTATTGTTTGACATGTTTGACCGAGTCTGCAATTACCAGGACCTTCCAAGTCTGGTGGTTTTTGAAGCAGGTTTCTGGACACCAGACTCGTCACCAGGAATCTTCGATCGAACGGAGGGTCCAGGGGTCTTGGAGCAAACAGCTTGCGAAAACAAAAAGACCTGCAGAAGTGAAGATTGAACAGGTTTAAGGATTCGTCGGATTCGTTGGGAACCGTCTATAGAACTATACTATAGATGTCATTACATTGACCTTTGCAAATTTGGATCAAACGTCATGCTACATCAACAGAATAACGACCTGCTAGAACATAAGAATATACATGAGTATACTGTAGACCAAACACCAAACAAGCTATTTCAGCAATTCCCAAACACCATGAGACACCACCTTTTCTGCCAATAACACTCCAACTCACCAACAGTCACTGTCATGGAAGTAGACATGTTTGTATCTAAGATGGATGATACTGGTCTTGTGACTTGTCAATGAAGCATCTGTTGTGCATTTTCGGGTGTCAGGTGTAGAACGCATAGCCGGCCTAGCCTCTCCGGTCGGCCTCTGTCACCAAGGAACACCGGGGAAGCGAGTACCGCCGTAGAAGGCGTTGGTCGTGGCGACATGGTGTCGGACGTCAGATTCGTTGAACCCGAAGGCAGTCTCGCACATGTCAAACCAAAAGCTCATGTCGTTGTATCCTCAGTGTTTCAACGGCTGTGGTATGATCTGATCGATTCACTCAGCCAGAAGTCAGCGATCTGTAGGCCGATTCAAATGAAACGTAAGCTGCTTCAGCATGTCAAATTTGAGGAAACTGAGCTCAAAGAATTGAACTATATCCGAGTTGAGAAACCAAAAGATATCGTTGCCAGGTGAGGCTAGTTGAAGGGGTAATCTATCATGAGGTCCACCAACCAGCTAAAAAATAACTGCTCGTTCAAGGCAGATCTCACATCCCCAAACTGCTCGTTCTACTCGTTCTACTGCCTAATTAACCTTCGCAGGAAAAACAAAACAAAAAACACGTCAACAACTTTAAAACAACAACGGGCACCACTTCTGCTTCGGCCGCGTCTCCCCGGGTCCAGGGACAATTCGAGTCTTCTTCACCTGGCGGAAAACGGTGGGCGAAACGGGTTGACGGCCGTGTGGCGCGGGGTGAAACGGCGATGACGGCGAAGTCTCGGAGCCGCGGCGTCCGTGAAGAACCTGGACTCTCGTGGTCATCGCCGCTGAATGGGGGGTGCCAAGAAGGTCCGGCATGGCGATGGTGGCAATCGAGTGTCTGGGAATGAACAAACAGAACCGGAATCTCCCTATTGTAACAGCCCCCCCGCCTAACATTAGAGGTGCCGTGTGTAACATGTCTTGCAAGATGCCATGCAAGGCCGCTAGAAAGCTGGGGCTTTCTAGCAGAATGTTCGCTCGGCCGAATCTGGCATTTTCTGGTCTTTGAACATCGGTCTGAACATTCAGGACGACATGGGACAAAGTCATGGAAAGTCAATGATGGCAAACTATATCTTGGGCATCTCTTGCAGATCTTGTTGGTCGTCAGATCCCTGCTGCAGGAAAGAAAACTATGGATGGACTAAAACCCATTGGTCAGAGGGGGCCATTCATATTTAACATGGAGGGAAACAAAAACGACCTGTTGGGAAGCCAACCAACGCAGCCCGGTCACAGGTCATGAAGTTCCCTCATTCAGTGCAAATCCTCGACCAGTTTGCGAACATGACTGAAGACTCGACTCGGCTCCAAGCAATTTTGCACTATATCAAGATGAACCATGACACATATTAGTATTGATTCATATATTAGATGTTCAACCAGTTTGTTTGTCTACTAAGGCAGTGGATGAACTGGAGGGGTCTTGGCCTGTCTTTTGGGGAGCTCCGAGGTGGATGTCTCCAAACATTTCCGAACATATATATTTCAAAAAAATATATATTCATCAATCAAACTCACACAACACGTATACTCCCAGTACTCTTATCACGTATGTATGACTTTTCTGTGTTATATGTATTTGTTCTTGGTTGTTCTGCACTTCAAAAGACTTCAGTGAACATGTTCCTGAATCTTCCTGAACCGGAACGAGCGATGTCCATCCAGCTTCTCCCACCAACCGATGTGTCCCGCACGATGTCCATCGAAGCTCCGCGTGAATCTCCCAGCTTCTCCCCGTGGCCCAAACGCTCAAACCGCCCCACTGGTCACTGGTCCTTCAAAACCTGGGGATTGGTCCAACCCAGACCTATTGACCCAAGGATGCGGGTCCATCGCAGCCAGAGACTCTGATAGGTCCATAACCCCATGAGATTGCTCCCGTCCGTGCGCTTCTCTTGGATCTGCAAGCCTCATTGATGCGTCGAATGGCATGAGACGTGGTGATGCGAAAATGAAAAAAAACAAACGTCTACAGCTTTGAGCTAGGTGTTCGAGTTGTGTTGGATTGAACTACCCCCACATGGGGCTCACCTCATGCGATTGGTCCAAGACACGATGGGAATGGTGATGGCCATGTCATCCATGTCGTTTCTCAATAGATTCACGACGGGATCCTTTTAAGCCAAAGGGTTACTTACACTTGAAGGAAAGACATGTTCAACCACGAGCCGTACCAAACACAGCGATTTCATTGGATTTCTATACCTTCATGTCATCCTTCATTTTTTTGCGGCAGCAAGTGTATGCGAATATCCGTCGGACTAAGGTCTACACAATCTCTCCGCCGAAAATCGTGGGGCGGATGCAACAAAAAAATACCATCCGAATCCACTAAGAACAGAGAGTCTGAATGACTCTGAAGATGTGTATGTGGATTTATTCACTCTGTACTTACAGAGGCTCGTGCTTTAGAGATTTGCAATTTTGGTGAATTCATTGGTTGCTATATGTGTTGCTATATATATATATACTGACCGTATTGATCCGTATTGACCATGTTTGCATTTTCGGGCAATTGGCCCCCTTCGCGACAAAGATTTGATTCATCCCTTTCAATACGTCCGGAGTTCATTCATCCCGACAGTCTGCGGAGTCTCTTTTTCACCTGACGCCTACCCAACATCCAAGAAGCTTTCCAAATATCCGTTCCAGGAGATATCCTTGGATTTGCAGCTCCCAGAAAGCAGAATCTAAAACAATTACAACATAGATTCTCGATATTTGATGTATATATATATGAGATGGATTCACCCATGCAGGACTTGGAAAACGATAGAACAACCCGATCGGCAAATCTCCAAGAATCCTTGCACTTCTCCACACTTTGCACTGCGCCAGTGGCCACCGCCTCTTCCTGGTGTGACAACGACTGCGAGCGACTGCGTGTTGCGAGCGTGGATTCGGAAATCCACAAAATAGTTGCAGTCTACGTAAGTATGTCCTATATTAAGTGTATAGTGAAACATATAGTGAAACATATTCATCTCTATTCCTGTACTCTGACCCTCGAAAACTCGGCGGTGGTGCTGAAACTCAACCAAGATCGCATTCGCACGTCCAGCGAATGGAAGTGGACATGCCGGTTGAATGGCGGGATCGGTTTCAACATCGGTTGCAACCGACCCGACAAGAGCAGAACTACCCCAGCCAGCGCAACCCTGGACGTGAAACATGCTGAAAACCGCTCAAACAACATCCATTAATATCTATACCATGTTTGCCAACATGGCATGTTTAGGTGCTGCAATGCGTCACACATACATTGTGGATACGACTTTGTGACCGTCAACAACATTTTGGTCGTACTAGACTGAGATCAAACATTACCAAAGGCAGGTTTGGATGGAACTCAAAACAAGGGGTTTGTTCAAGTGCTTGTTCCGTCTTTTAGGAAAAGAAAACACACAAAGCAACACCTTCAAATGCTAACCGTGCCGACATGGCCTGGTTTAGTGAGAAAAGTCGTGTTGACAAGCACAAAGCACCACGCATCCCAGCTCTACAGCAGAACAGGTTCTGATTTATCTAGCAATTCACATGGCCCACCATGATCTACCATGTGTTTCCTCCTCAAAGGCATACACTAAAACACTAAAACACCTGGACAACTCATGTATGGAATACTGGAGTTGCCTACATTGGGCTGATGTTAATATATCTTAGAGTCCCATGGATGGTCGACAGTGTGCAAATGACAGTGACCGACCATGACACTCACGAAGAGGTGACCGACCTATGGTGATGACGGGAACCACCCTGACTGACCTGTCCACCCTGACTGGTGCGACTCGTAAGGAATAAGGGGGATCCTGAGGTATCTACACAGGGAGTGGTGAGAATTCCCACCTCATTCCATCTCATTCCCTGCAAAACAACTATTTGTTAAACAACTATATTATTGTCTCATTCCCTACTTTCGTTGCAGGAAGTCTGCCAAATACACCAAGCTTCTTGTTGGAAGCGGTCCAATTCCACCAGAGCATCCAACTCCGAGGGCAGCGCTTCACTCATCAAAGACAAGTTCCCACACAGGAGCCGGATGTTGCCTCGGCGAAGGGGTTTCGGGCTGGAATCATTTGTTCTTAACACAATGTGAACAAAAACAGAAGTATGGAGGCATTATGATGTTTAAGATGGTCGAAGTATGGAGGCATTCATTTCTTTTGTGTTTATATATTTGGTTATCAGAGTTGTTATCTGAGACAAGTAATGAGTCAGCACAACTGTCGTTCACTCTCCACACCTTTTGGATCCTTTGTGTGTATTTATCTTGCATGGGAACTTAATTGAATAAGCTCTTCTTTCTAGTTTGTTGTGCCAGTGGCATACAAGCAAACATCTATACTAATTGTATTCGATGTTTCCCCCGTCCACCAATCATCCACTACTCATCCACCAATCTCACGTTGCTCATTGAAACGCATTGCCAAGCAGCAGCTGGTGATGCTGCAGCGGTTGTTGTTATATTGATTGCTGGTAATGACACCCATGCCCGCCCATCCGGCCACATTGTTCCTCGGCGGTACCGGGTACCGGTGTGCAGGGTACCGGGTCGGTGTGAAGGGTATCCCTGAGCATCCATGGGACTTGGAGCTTGGCGGCGATTTACATAGGTGATCCTAACACGTGAACCAGTACAGAACTTGTGGCCAGGAATCAGCTGTTGGAGGGTCCAGGTACATAGTTACATACATTTATGTATGACCCCAAGGCCCTCCATGTAAGTAACTATGCCAGTCCCATGGGGATGTTGTTCGAAGCCGTTCTTCTGCCGCAGGTGAATCGCACAGATTGAACGAATGATGACTTTGACATGACTATGAGCAAGAAATGATTTTGAGCTCCGCAACTTGAAACTCCCAGAAGTTCCCAGAACTCCCAGAAGTAGATGCTGGAACTCTACTCCGCAACTTTAGATGCTGGAACTCCCAGAAGTGATAAAACTGTGACTCCCATGGGGAGAGAACAGTGAGTTTTCACCACGCTGGTGGCGAGCTGCCCCAGTAGAGAGGTGTCCCAAAAGCCACCGATTTTCGAGACCTGTAGAGTCAGGTGCTGAAATGGTTGAGCTTTTCCAGTGCTGCAGGTGCTGCTTTTTTTTGCCATGGGTGCTTCCAAAGGCTGGTTGGCTGCATACGTTCCGCATCTTCTTCAGTCCACTTGTGGCATTTTGAGATCGACTGACAACATTTACCGTATATTAACTGTCATACTTAATACAACACATATACATATGCAATAATAGACTATAATACTTTATATCATACGGCATATACATATGCTAAATGATCATAGATGTATACATTGTAATAGTATATACCGCTTCTCCTGCTGCGCTCCGCAGCACTCCACCCGATTCTCCGGGTGTCGAATCATCCAGCGGCCGATGGCCACAGAGGTTAAACTTCTTCTCCAGCGATCGTCGACCCAGGGTCGTCCGCAGCCTGGGGGAAGGGTGATGTGGTCATCCTCAAACATGGAAACGACCTGTACATATGGCTGAGAGCAGGGTATTTGAGGTGTCTGTCTGTGTATATATATATATGATATGTGATGTGGTGCTTCATTAGTAGTCCTGGTCGACTCAGAACTTCGCTTCCGGGATTCGACTATGACCTGTCCGCGAAACGCCTTCAGCAACTGCTGAGGGGAGCTGTTCCGGTTCTTCTGACCAACAGACCTCTGAATGGGCTGACCAACAGACCTTCATCTTGCAAACTGACCTATTCTGCCAGATGCTTAGCAGGGAATGAAGGAGTGACCCTCCACTATAGATACCTTGGGATCCATTCCCCCATTCTCTACTAAGCACGAGTCAGTATTGGATTCCTTTTGACATGTGTCCATGCACAGTCTACGTACCCTTTCACAATTTCTTCTGGGTAACTCACTACGTAGATCACTCCACATATCTCAACATACTCTCCATGCTTGGGGTAGCCCCAATAATTTGCTTTAGAAGTCAATAGAGAATAACACGTCAAGCAAACGAACACCAGGCACTTCAGGGAGCCATGCAATTGCCAAACAACCTTGCACAAAGAAAGACATCAGGACATTTGCCATGACTTCATTCCTCTTTAACTCTGCCATACACTCACTTCATACAGCAACTGTGAAACCCTCATCTATCTGCCAAGCGTTTATGCCGTGCCTAAACCAAAACAACCAGTATCTGATCAATGTGCTTTCAGACAAAAAGCGAGGAGACAGAGACAGGATCCTCTTCTATAAGATCTAACAACCCTCACCTGACAGGTGGGGCAACACTGGAGACCTATCAAACCAGAAGTTTGGCAAGGAGCCCCCCCGAATGGATCATGGGCTCTTGCCCCACTCACTCCAAGGTGCAGAACATGTCCATGGACAGTATTGGTGGCTTTACTTGGTGGGCTTTCTGAAGGGAAACTCCAAAAAGAAGGGCCTTTTCCCGTGAGAAGTGCTGAGCCAAGCCGATTGGATCTGATCCATCGAAGCCACAGGGCTGTGGCAAAATTCTGTCAGATAAGAGTCAGAGGGCACGGTAATGAGTCTGGACTCGGATCCAGAGGGCACGGTAATGAGTCTGGACTCGGATCCAATTCATCCGATTTCCCCTCGCAAGTCGTTTGATTTCTCCAAGTGCTTTCTCCTTCCACACTTCCGAGCTACAGCTCACGCAGCTGCGCGTGGCCTTTGGTGATCGTCGCTAGGCCTTGGGTCGTGGACGGTGAAGACATGTAGACCGTTTGGGCTCCAGGTACCTTCTAAGAAGGTGTTTGCGGTGGGTGCCAGGAGGGTCCAAATCTGGTCCAAATACCTTCTGAAGTGCTTGGAGCCTTAGGGTAGACGTTGCTCTGACGAACAAACATGGAAGTTGATATCAGCTGCATGTTCATGGCACCTGAACAGCTTCGAGGACACCCAAATCCAAAGCTAGGGAGTTCTCAAATATGTGCTATTGTGTACGTACGATGCATGTATAGATTCAACATGCATTGTTTTCTTGCATAAAACCCTACTTGCAGTAGTTCAGCTCAAGGAGCTCCAACAAGGTTCCACGAGTGATCCATCACCCAACCCCTCTGGGAGACTCCGGATTTGGCGCGACCAGGATCCCTCGGGGGGGTAGGTGCGACCCACTGAGCAGCGAGCATCTGCTCTCGACCCGACTGTCCGAGATGGTCCGACAGAGCGAAGGGCAGATCGAAGCCACGGCAGTGGACGACCCACCCGAGGTCGCAAAGCGAATCAACGAGGGTCTGACGCGACCCTGGACCCTATCCTCATATGGAGGGGTCGGACGAGTCTGGAGGGTCTGGGGACGAAGCAATCCCTAGGTTTTGATAGGAACTCTTGGAGAGTCTAAGAGCACACTGAAAAGCCTTGGTGGGTCCAGTTCCGTGAAAAAGTTTTGCCGTGTTTCTGGCACCAGGTATGCCCACTTATATAGAAGTGAGAATGTCCAGCCAAAAAACCCAACACGGACCAATCAGTTCAAGTGTTGCAACTTAGGACGAACACATCGACGATGCCTAAGCACAACCACTGGAAGTAGGGATCCGACCCTCAGGGGGTTCAGGACTCGCCATTGTCAGGGAGACCAAGGACTGAGTGAGTGTCTGGTGCGGGCTTATTGGCATAGGGATGCCCGCAGCCAAACCACCTGGTCAAAGAACACTCAACGACCAAAACAACCAAACCCTGAAAGCGTCATGGGGGTTTTCCGTCTTCTTATGGCCACCCAACACGATCGTCAGTACGTGCAAGCAAGTGCGGCGATTTTGACATGATGCCCGGGTTCCGATACATGTTAATATCCACAAGCGCAACAAAAAGCCGCCTAAAGAACCTCGGCCGTCGGCTTGGTCACCTAAGTTTTGGCCATACAAACGTGATCTGAATCAAAGGGGTTCCTTGCCCGACCCATGTTCAGTCACTTGAGGCTTAACTTAAGGCCAGCCACATTGTGGAGTGCCACCCACATGGGGCGACGCCAGGCTGGAGGCAACCACATCGTGATATCCACCTTAGAGGCGGCCATAAAACAACAGCAAAACAAAGCCCCTTAAGTACACAACCTTTGTTTTTTTACTGTATAGATATTTGATGGTATTTGATGATATTTGTAGATTGTTGGTTGTAGTTTAAATAGTAAAAATAAGCATCATGTTGGCAGCCAACCAATCACCTTAACTAGCAGTAGTACACTTTGGTAAGTCCAATGACCTAACCTTGGTCGACTTGCTGGACTTGTCCTGGAAAAAACATGGAAATGGCCGGCGCAGTGGCGTAGTCGCTTGTTTTTTGGTCCAAACAGCTGACGTTCCGTCCAGGTCACCATGCCACGTTGTACCATCTGGAGAGAATCCAAACACCCAACGCCAAGCACCAACCACTACTAGTACCGGCAACAAGGAACGCACCAGCAAAAGGAGCTTCTGCAGGGCCACGGAGGATCCACCAACCAGTCACCACGTCCACCAGGCAACAGCCACAACACCAAGCAGAACACCAATCCCTAAGGATCCACTGCCACTTTCTCAGAAGGTACGACTAGACCCTCTAAATTCAAATGAAAGTGTCGAACACATCACCTACTCAGAGGGTATGTGGTTCCACAGGGAACCACAACCCAACTTCGGGCCGCCCATGGCAAGAGCCTGTTTTTGAACAACTGGCCAAAAGATGTTCATTGAGGTGCGGAAGTTCAGTTGGCTCTCCATGGGCGCGGAAGAAGACCTCGTCGCGGATTTAGCAAAATACGCTTGGCTAGCAGGAGATCGAGTAGTGTAGTCCATTCAGAACCCCCTGGATCACTACACTAGTGAACGCTATTTTGATTGGTCCATAATCGAATGCACTGATGTCCAACAGACTCTTCAGGGGACCCATGGACCTACTTTAGGTATCTACTTGCGGGTCATCACTAGAAAGGCTGTATTCCTTTCCCGAAACTGGCAAGGCTGATCTTTGAGACCCTCAAAAAGGATCCAAGTCAGACATGCTTCGACCCAAAATGCAAGTGTTCCATTGCAAGAAAGGACCCAATTTGCTCAAACATATCAGATAGAGTTATATATATATATATATAATACCCTTCGAATTCCTGCTGTATGTAGGGGTGGTTGATTTTTTAAGGAAAGTGTCCACAGAATCAACCACCCCAGGTTCGCCAATCTTAAAATCCTTACAAAATCAAACCCCCCAGGACGCAGGCAAGGGACAACTCTCAAGCCGATATTACAAAATCAACTACCCCAGTCTCAAGATACAGTCTTTACAAAATCATAGGCACTCTGTTGACATGGCTCAGTACAATTACAAGATCAACCACCCCGAGGCCTCAAACAAGATACAAAATGTCAATCATTAAACCTGGATTGGAAAAAACAAACGATTTTGTAATGATTCTGCGCGACCTCATCAAGACGATACGAATCGATACGATACGAATCGATACGATACGATACGATTCGTCTCACAGCTCTCACGGTTCGTCATCACGATTCCTTTATTTTCCTTTCTTATCTTTTCATGTTCTTTGCAGTGTCCCGCAGATCACTAGCACGAACCTACCCCTACCTCGCATGCCAGCAACTGCAAGAGATCAACAGATAGATTGAACATGATTGAACAATCCTTGGAAATCCTTGGAACATCTTGGAACAAACCTTGATCATGGATCTGGCTAGATGCAAGGATATGCAATGCCTTCATTCTTCAGACCTCCTATCTTTTCGTAGGATTTTCGAAGATGTTCGATGAAGGCTTGTTGAAACAAGAACTTGCAATCAAGACGCGCATGTTGTTTTGAATTAAGTGACATGGAACCGATGACCGAACTCAGATGAACTCAGGCAACGAGGCAAATGTTCTTGATCAGGGCAAGCCAGGTGCCACGCTTTCCTGCCGCCAAGTTCTCCAAGATGTTCGAAAAGAACCTGTGGACTTGCCTCCCCCCACACATCCACGTTGCTGCACTTCTGAAACCTGGAAAGAAGGGAAATTAAAGGATGCAGTCGGAAACATTCAAGAGAAGAATGGTAAGGATCACATCAGGAAAAGATGAACCAAAAGAACACCTGGAAGAATGGAGGAAACATCAGGAAAATTTAGGACACATAACTTTGCCAAAAAATACCAAAAAAACTCCAAGATCAAGAAGTGGTATGCTTGTTCTGAGACGGTTGCCCACGAAACACCTTCTCCACTGGAAGCTTGCACAGGTTCATTGAGTCAAAGACCGGCTTACTTGGAAACTTCTTTGCATCAAGCAGTCGAATCTTGAGCATTGTCTCTTGAACCAGTTTGCGACCTTCTGCATTCTTCCTGAACTTGGAGGCCTGAAAGCTGATCGGCTTGGCTTGCTTCTGAGCGGACTGCTTCTTTTTCTTTTTGTTTGCATCTTTCGTGGTTGCCTTTGCATGCTTCTTTCCTCCGTTCTTGCCTTTACTACCCCTGATTCTCATTCTGATCTTCCTCTGTCTCCTCTTTGGCTGCGGCTTGGAATGCTGCCACTTGTCCTGATCGATCAACGATGGATCAGGCCCCGGCCACCATTTGGCAGCACCTTTAAGTGCATTCAGAAGTTCCACACTTTTCTGGCTCAGAACCACAGAAACGGAATCGGAACATTCGTTGGACTCCTCACAATCAAGAATGCTAATCAGTTGCTCTGGGCGAAGAAGATAAGGATCTGAAGCGCTGCTTCCACAGAATCTGCTACCATCACCTCCATCTGGTACCATCTCCACTACCCGCACACCAGCAACACGCCTGATTTCGTTGGAATCTTTTGTCGAAAGCTTGGGTTTCTTGTGGCCCAACCAAATCGAAAGCACCAATGCCACGATTGGCTTGCCGTCTCTGTACTTGTCGCAGGCCACAATGTGTCCCCGCCTGATCGCCTCTGGCCACTTGACATCGACTTTCCTCTCTTCAGCCGCCACACGTGCGAGCTCCTTCCATTTGTCCAAGCGTCCGGTGCGGGAACGGAAGCTGATGTCTTGCTCCTCCTGCGCGACCTCCGCGATTTTGCGCTGATTCCACCTCAGATGCTCTCAACATTTCTCAAACCGCTGGAATCCCCTGGACATCCTTGGCCCCTTTTGGCAAGATTCTGAACATTTACCTTTACAAAATCAGAATCCCCAGTAGCAAAGCCCCAAGCAGTATTACAGAATCAGATTTCTCAAGCCACTGAAAGCGGCAAAACGAAGCAAATCTTTACAAAATCAAAATCCCGGCGTTCGAGCGTCTGGTGCCAGTTGATCTTGTTGGAAGCCTTGCGGCAGTTGAGGGCATTCTTAACCCATGGGCTGTCACCTCCCTTGCTGTGCCTTAGTCATATAGAAGTGGTATAGAAACAGAAACTTTTAAGGACAAAGAAAGAGACAAAGAGAATCCCACAGACATCGAACAAAACAGAAACTTTTCCGCAAACAATGACATGTGGCCCATGCCGCAGGTACATTGCGAATCTCCAAAGAGAATCCCACATTGACTTTCCATTGTCCACAGCAGTAAACGCATTGCGCAAAGTCACATATTTGCATGTAGTTGTGGAAGACTCCTTGGGTGCTGATTCATCTGCCGCACTGGCTGCTGCCACCTCAATGATGCTGGATGCATCAGGCACCGATTCCAGAAGCACCTCCTCCAAGTCAAAGTCCATCCTTCAGGGGAATTGAAAGGTCTGCGCTTGTTGCGCCATCCTCTTGAATGCTTCTCAGCAAGTTCTTGCATTGATTGCCATTGGTTGTTGCTTCGGCTTCTTCCATCATGCCCATGTCATGATCTTCAGCTTCAGCAGGATGTGCCTGAAGAGATTGCCAATCAAACTCCACTCCTCCGTCGCAGTAGTGCTGGTACATGTCCTCGAGCTTGGCCACAGCCAGACCAGAAGAGAAAGCAGCCAGCCGCAAAGCAGCCTTGTATCCATGTTCACAACACTCACGGAACTCATCTGGACTCAAGGGAGGCAATTTCTGGACGGAATACCTTGATGGCTTATTGGCTGCCTGTTGTCGCCGTGCTTCTCTGAACATGGCCTTCCAATATCCTCTTGTTGAAAGCTGGGCTGACTGTGCTTGTGTGCGAAGTCGACCAAAGAACTCTTCAATTGAGATCTCACTGACACGGTTTGCGGAACGCCAGTAGTCACCTGAGGTAGCCTTTGTGTAGCAAATCGTCATCACCGTCAAACAGATCTGTTGCAAATTCGCTTGCGTCTGTGGTGCCAAAAAAACAAGCTGTCTGGGGAAGCCGGGACTGTGCTGCTGTAATTTGTGAGAGCATTTTGAAAAGGTCCACCAACACAAAGCCAGCGATGCTGTTCTCACATCTCTCTTTGATGCTCATCCGCTGATGCCCAGCAGGGCAAATACAAAGTCCAGATGCAACATTGAGCAACATCATGCCCCGAAGTCGCCAAGACACCTCTATGTTTCCTCCAGACACTGCTTCGTCTGCATTCTCGCACAAAAAAACGGATTGTTCATGATTGCTTGAAGCTTGTCTGACATTCCACAGGTTCGAGTGTAAGCTGTTGGAGGTAACCCGAGGCTGGTCATATGGGTGCTGTCTACCCAGTACGCACCGCAAAAAATTGTACGAATAGGTGAGACGATCTGCCCACCCACAGCCTTTGCTGCGTGACCTGCAGCTGAGCGAGTCAACCAAAAACCTGATCTATTGTGAAATATTACGGAACATTCCAAATTCATACGCAGAATATCACAGAAATTTACATATCATAAATAGCCAAAAAAAAAATACATATAATTTGTGATAATTTGTGAATTGTGGAGTTGAGGCACATGGGCCACACAGCGGCCACACCGCTTCTCCTCCATAGCGACAGATCCTTGCTGGAAGCCTTGGCAAGCATGTTCTTGGAAACGATTCATAGCGGACATCTCGAAAGAACGCTACTGTGGCCAGGTCTTCCTCTCTTGAGATCACAAAATGTCCACGCAAGGCTTCACGAAAATATGTATTCGCCAGGTGCCCATCGAACGCAACAGCCTTGATGAGCCAGTGGGACTTCTCCAGCAAAGATCCCACTATCACAAGCATATCCTCAGGAAAGCTTAGATCCACAATATGTACCAAAACATTAGCAAAACATATTAAATTAAACTGCAAGATAGAATACAAATGTATGTATAAATTATATCAAAAAAAACAAAAATAATTGAAAATTGAAAAATGCAAGAACCACCCCAAGGTCGAGCTTCCCAATTGCCCTGGTTTTGTGTTCCCTTTTCTCGTGGAGCAAGCGACATCGGCATGGAAGCGATGGAGTGGCACTGCTTTGAGGGAGCAACAGGGTCCCAGACCAAGCACTCCAACCTTAAGCACGCCTTCTTTTGCTTCAGGCAATCTGGTGGAAGATCCTCGATATGAATGAAAGCATTCTGTTCATAGTCAGCCCACCAGCAGCCACCTACGATTCCGCAACGATTGTTCAACTTGATTTGTTGAAAGCAGCGCTGCAGGTATGTGTGGTCAATTGCTAGAAAAAGCCGCTGCGTTGGCATCTCTGCATCACGCCAGCAAAGCTGATCCACGATCTTCAGGTTCTCCTCAAGAATCTCAATGTTGCTGGACATGAGCGCAAGAGCTGGGCAGGGTAGGCTCATGCTATGAAGGTCATCCAAGACTGCCTGGGGAGGTTTTGTGTTCTGGCCGAGCTGTTTGGCCAGAGCAGCATTGCCGCCTGCTGACATGCATAAAGT